TCTGTTTCCACAAAGCTACTTTGTAGTCTGAAGACCGGGTGGTTAACTTATCTCCATATGCTCAGCACCTCCCTCAATCTCCGGCATGAATAAAAGTGCACGGCATGTGAAACGAGGCTAACAATTTAAATCACCGTTTCTGGTTAAACTGAAGCCATGTTAAAGCATGGGATCCTACAACTTACACTCTGAATATTTCCAAGGGCCCAAAGCAAGACATCCATCAACATGCACGCGTTCCTAGCACCTTTATAGATTGGAAGGAATGATGAATGGCCTGGGGAATTAACAAATGTTTTTAACATGATATACTCTATAATGCTTGGTAGGTGTTTGGGGAAAAAGCTAGGAAAATCAGAGGTGTTCATTCCTCACCAAATTCCACAGGTAATCTTGCCCCCCCCCACTTGTTGTAGTGGTACATTCCGCCTCCCCCCTCTCCAATGATGGAATAGGTATATCCCGGAGGAGGGAGGGGGTGGGAAAAAACCCGCTTCCGAAGCGATGATTGGCTCCTTCCTTCCCGCGTCTCCGCCCCGTCTAGGCTTGCTCCGCGGTACCTTCCCGTGCAGGAAGATGATCTTGTCCCGCGCAGACTCCCTCAGCACTTTTTGCACTCTAAAGCCGGAGAACGGCAAGCGGACAGGGGCAGAGGTACCATTCCCAACGCCTGCTTCCTTTTGATCTGCGCTAGGAGCTTCGGCTTCCTCTGTGTCCGTTTCCCGCTTTCTCTTGGATTGAGGAGCCGCGTCCGCCATGCTGCCCGCAAGGTGCTGTGTGCGCCTGCGCATACGAGCATCTTCGCCTCCCCCCCCTTCCCCGCCCCGCCCTATCGCCTGTTTCTTACGGCTGCGACTACAACTCCCAGCGTGCTTCGCTTCACCATCGCTGTTACGTAGTTTCCGGTGCTGCGCATTGCATCCGGCGCCTGCTGTTACTGGTGGGTCAGAGTGGCCAAAGTGTGAAGTTATACCCTGGCTGATGAGTGCTATTGGAAAGAATGTTTCCTGAGACAAATCTATGAGTATCTTCATCGGGCTTCTTATAGCGCATATTTAATCCATTCCTATTTTTTGTATTTTTATGACGTGTTTTGGTTTTGGGGTTGTTTTTTGGCTCAAAGAAAGGTAAGCGCACAGAGTCAACGGTGTCCTGCTTCCTCGCCTGTGTCCCTTCGCCAGTGTTTATGCCGTGCCGCCCGGACAGATGGTTTTTGCTAGTCTGTCATTTTCCTTCCCCCACCTTTCTTTTGGTCATGTAAGGAAAAAAAACGTTTATTCATTTATTTATTTAGGTGCATGTCATGGGGCTTGAACTCTGGACCTGGGCCCTGTCCTTGTGCTTTTTTTGCTTAAGGCCAGAGCTCTACCACCTGAGCCATAGCTCAACTTCCACCTTTTGGAAGTTCATTGGAGGTAAGTCTCACAGACTTCCAGCTGGCTTCAAACTGAGGATGAACTCAAGGCCTCACATACGCTCACCTTCCTCTACTGCTTGAGCCGTGCTTCCAGTCCGTGACTTTTTTCACACGAGCCTGATGAGTGTAGGAAACAGGACTTAATTTGCAAGGCAAGAACGTTGGCTTTTACTTCTCCAAAGGACTAGATTGCAACCTGAGTGGTTTCTATGGGCCAACTCCTCTACCAATTGCATCACCTTTAACTTATTTCTCTGTACCACGGAGTAATTTCCATCTAAGGTGGAAATCAAAAGATTTCCTTGTTCTATTTGGAGCTATTTCTGGGGGGGGGGAAAAAGACAATTTTTTTTTTCTTATCTGAGTTAAGTCTGTGTGAGGAAGCAAACAAAAGTTCCTGATGGGCTGGGCTCAGTGGTAGAGCGTTTTTGCCTTGCATGCATGAGGCCCTGGGTTCGATTCCTCAGCACCACATAAGCAAAAAGAAAAAAGCCGGAGGTGGCACTTTGGCTCAAGTGGTAGGGCACTATCTTGAAGAGCTGAAGAGCTGAGGGACAGCGCCCAGGCCCAGAGTTCAGGCCCCACGACTAGACCCAAAAAATAAAATAAAAAATAAAAGTTCCTGTCTGAAAATATATTTGATCGTCTTTATCTGTATGGTCCATGAAAGCTTTTTAAAAAAAGATTAATTAGACTTTGCCAGAGAACCATGCAGACATCCAGGTACAGAGAACAAAGAAAGTTTTATGCCAGGAAAGGGGGCCGGCAAGACTCCTTCTCACAAGGGAGAATTGAGAAGAAGCACTGGTTATTGTCTGAAATGACCTATGTAACCTAGGGGGTTTAGGAGGGGCTAGAAGGCGGTGACCTGGTGTGGACGTGTGGGCCAGTGGCCTCATCATGGAGGACTAGGATTTATGGCTGCTGTCCAAATAGTAGATAAGGGTCCTGCAACTGCCCAGACCTGTAGGTCACTTTAAGGGACTCTTGTTGCCTTATATAGTGGTAGCTGCCCCAGAGAAGTGCCATCCCAAGGTAAAGGAGCTGGAGCCTGATTATTTACTGGGCCTAGTGTTGCCTAGGAAGGGAGTATGCTAAGCTGTGGAGAAGGGAAGGAGAGGACTGAACTATGGGAAGGGAGCTCATTTCGTTAACAGTCCACTTCCACAGATTCAGTAAAAAGCTGGGGACAGTGGCTCATGGTTGTGATCTTAGCTACTTAGAAAGCGAATCTGGAGTAGCGTGGTTTAGAGCCAGCCAGGGCAGAAAGTTAGCAAGACCCCATCTCAATAAGCAAGCCAAGCATGGTGGCAAACACCATTCACTTGGGAGGCAGAGCCTGGGAGGATCTTGGTAATTTATCTGAAAAATCACTAATAATTACTGTAGCTAAGTGGTAAAGCACCCGTCTAGCAAAGTTACTGGTAGGCCCTATCTGGAAAACAGAAGTACTGGTAGAATGCTTGCCTAGCAAGTACAAGGCTGAGAGTTCAATTTTCAGCAAACCACCCCCCCCCAATAAAAAATTCACAACCAATCAACAAATCTATAACTCAGTGTAATTACAACAAAAATATAAGCTTTCCCCCCCACCCTGAAACATGACAAGCTGAGTAAACTAAAAGTAAGGACTAAGAAAGTCAGGATGTTTTAGGAAAATAAGAAGAGAAGAGCTGACTGTAAGCTGATAAGGCTATTGGAAATAGTGTGTGACTTTGCAGTGTATGAATTATATCTCAACAAAACCATTTTTGTTGTTTTTGTTTTTGTTTTAAAAGTAGTGTATGAGGAGCCGAGCGCTGGTGGCTCACGCCTGTAATACTAGCTACTCAGGAGGCTGAGATCTGAGGATCGCGGTTCAAAGCCAGCCCGGGCAGGAGAGACCGTGAGACTCCTATCTCCAATAAACCACCAGAAAACTGGAAGTGGCACTGTAGCTCAAGTGGTAGAGCGCTTGCCTTGAGCTGAAGAGCTGAGGGACAGCGCCCAGCCCAGAGTTCAAGCCCCACGACCGACAAAAAAAAAAAAAAAAACGTAGTGTATGAGATGTGTACCAGTGGCTTACACCTGTAATCTTAGCTACTCAGGAAGCTGAGATCTGAGATCATGGTTCAAAGCCAGCCCAGGCAGGAAAGTCCATGAGAGTCTTACCTCCAACTAACCACACACACACAAAAAAGATCCAGAAGTGGAGCTGTGGCCCAAGTGGTAGAGTGCTAGCCATGAGCAAAAAGCTCATAGTTAGTGCCCAGACCCTGGAAGAAAGAAGTAAAGAAAGGGAAGAGAGGAAAAGGAAAGAAGAAAGGAAAAGAATATAAACATGCCATTTGTACAAACAAGAAGGTCATGTAAAATTAAATAACATGTTGAGCTAGATGCATACAAATGCAGTAACTTTACAGCACAAGGCTAAGAATGAGAAGTCAAAATTCAGAGTAGTCATTATTTCTGGTGGAAGAATTGAGGGCCTGGGATTAAGAGTACAAAGATAGGGCTGAGAAGGTGGCTCAGTGGTAGAGCGCTTGCCTTGCATGCATGAGGCCCTGGGTTCGATTCCTCAGCACCACATAAGCAGAAAAAAGCCAGAAGTGGTGCTGTGGCTCAAGTGGTAGTATGCTTGCCTTGAGCTAAAGAGCTGAGGAACAGAGTTTAGGCCCCACGACCGGACCTCCCCCCAAAAAAAAAAGAGTACAAAGAAAGTACCTCAGGAATGATAAGATTTCACTTCTCATGTTGGGTGGTGGGTACTTGATTTCATAGTCTTTTTGATACATAATAAAATAATTCATAATTAAAAAGTTTCAATAACAAGGGATCTGATAAAGGGAAGCTTATTGAAGAGGCACCAAAATACATGTTGGGGAAACCATGACATTCATTCAGTTCAACATAGTTTCTGTTCTTTTTTCTCTTGGTGGTGGAGGTACTCGGGCTTGATCTCATGTCTCACACTTGCAAGGCAGGCATCTACCACTAGAGCCAACCCACCAGCTCCTTTTTTTTTTTTTTGCCAGTCCTGGGGCTTGAACTCAGGGCCTAGGCCCTGTCCCTGAGCTTCCTTTGCTCTACCACTAGAGCCATAGCACACTTCCAGCTTCTTCTGTTTATGTGGTACTGGGGAATAGAACCCAGGGCTTCATGCATGCAAGGCAAGCACTCTAGCACTAAGCCACCTTCCCAGCCCTACCAGCTCCTTTTTGAATTGGTTGTTTCAAGATGAGCGTCTTGGTTTAGGCCCAGCCTGGCCTGGGCTGCAGTTGCCTTCATGCTTCTCTGCATCGCTGGCGTGACAGGCATATGGCACGTGCTGCTGCACCCAGCCATCCACGGTGCTCCATCCCATAGCTTAGAAGGACAGTCGTCTTTCATCCAGCTTTCTGAAGTGAGCTGATGTGTCTGAGAAGGTAAGCAGCAATAGTGTGTGTGAAGGATTTTTTTTTTTTGTCGGTCATGGGGCTTGAACTCTGGGCCTGGGCGCTGTCCCTCAGCTCTTCAGCTCAAGGCTAGTGCTCTATCACTTGAGCCACAGCACCACTTCTGGTTTTCTGAGTGGCTTATTGGAGATAAGAGGCTCACAGAATTTTCCTGCCTGGGGTGGCTTTGAACCTCAATCCTCAGATCTCAGCCTCCTGAGTAGCTAGGATTACAGGTGTTCTTGTAGCTTTCTCCTGACATCTGCGTTGAGGGCAACTGGTAAGAAGATCCATGCTGAGGCCTGCAGCCTCGGCTTCAGCTCATCAGTTAAGCTTACTCCTCTGGAAAGATGTCTGTCAACATTGATGGGGAAGAAGGCAGGTTTGTGTGTGCCAGCTTTCTGTCCAATTCAGCAACAGACAAGATAATGTTGACCCTCCTGGTATCAGCATATTCTCCAGCCAACCCCATCATCTGACTTCCTCGTGGCCTTCTGGGGGAGTCCCCAGCACTTCATAAACTTCCTGGGGGAGAACCCAGCTTCTTCTTGGCCTTCTTTGGGGGAAAACCCTCAGTTTTTGTGGCTTCCCAAGGGAGGCCATAGTAATGGAAAGCCCTGATTGGGCTGTCAGTGGACTCTGGCTGCTGACATGTCTCCTACCAGACCTGCTGGAACCTGAGGCCCAATATGGGCTGTTTCCAACATGACTCCAGCTTTCTGCATCCCATGGTGACATGACAGTCAACTGAGTGTCTGCAGATCTGAAAGAGACCAAACAGAGTGACAGGGCATGTCCTCGCAAACCCAGCAATGGTTTCTCCCCAGTAAGTGCTCGCCTCCTTTTTTTTTTTTTTTTTTTTGGTGGGTACTGGGGCTTGAACTCTGGGTCTGGGCACTGTCCCTCAGCTCTTCACCTCAAGGCTAGCGCTCTACCACTTGAGCCCCTTATGTTTTTTTGGTGGTTAATTGGAGATAAGAGTCTCACAGACTTTCCTGCCCGGGCTGGCTTTGAACTGCGATCCTCAGATCTCAGCCTCCTAGGATTACAGGTATGAGCCACCAGCACCCTGTTCCTCACCTCCCTTTTTATCATAGTTTCATTCAACACACTATAATATAATGCTTCTTCCCCAGATCGGCTTATTGTGTGTGATTCTTTTTGATATTCCCTCTTGGCATCTGTCTAGCTCCTGGTAGACATCTCCAACCTAATCTATGAAAAACCTATTATCACCACTGTTACTCTAATATGTACTGACGACTTGGGGTATGTGTGTGCGTGCGTGTGCACGCATGCGCATGCGCGTGCATGCACTGACACGTATGCAGACATGTCATTTTACAATAATGGAAGCTTGAGAAACACTGAGAAAGCAGAGATCCAGGGCAGTTAAGTAACTCAACAAAGCAATTTTTCATATGCTAGTAGTTTAAAAAAAGAAAAAGCCAGGTAAGTCCCAGAGCCTGCACTTTGAACCAGTAGCGCTCTAACTTCCACTAAAGAAAGGATCAGACACTGGCTGACTCTCCTTCCCCTTCCCCTCCCCGGGCTTACAGCGCATGACAGCATCCTTGACTTGGCCAAAACCACCATCCGGGCCTCTGCCATCCACACAGTACATGAATCGCAGTTCAGGTGGATAGGCAGCTCTGGTCAGGCCTGACAGCAAGGGGATGGTGCGGCCCTCAGCCCCAGGGGCTTCAGTCAGGGCCTGCAGCATCTGGTACTTGCACCACGGGTCGTGAAGGAAGCCTGCGGTAATAAGCAGCACCTGGCAGTGACTATTGCTCAGAGCCTGGCACAGCTCCGACACGATGGCGCCACCTGGAGTTGCATCTCGAAGCTGCAGGAAGCAGCGCAGGCTGGCAGTGCTGCCTTCCAGGTAGGAGACCAGCTCCTGGGCCACTGCCAGGTCCTCCTCACTGTGGCACACGCATACATCGTAGTCTTTGCTCCAGCGGCCACTGCTGCTGGTGTCCACAGGTGTTGGTGATGAGACTGCAGACACATCTGGACCAGGGCTTGAAGATGGGAGGATGTCCTCTGAGGCCAGCTCTGAGTTGTCACTGGGGTGGCTTTTGGAGGAAACAGGCCTCTCCTTGGGCTTCTTTACCAGTGCTTGCCTGAACCAGTCTGAGGAGGAGAAACACACTGCTCAGGTCTGTGCCTTCTAATCTCAGCCTCCCCACTGACGGCACAAGGGAGGACAGGCAGAACTCCAGCCAGCTCCCTGAACTACGAAACACTTTACTCCCAGAGACCTGCTCTGCTGTTTCATTTGTTTGTGCCAGTCCTGATGACTGAACTCCTGGCTTGGGAGCTTTCTCAGAGCTTTTTTATTCAAGGTTAGCATTCAAGTGATAATTTGAGCCAAAACTCCACTTCCAGCTTTTTTTTTGTCGGTCATTTGGCTTGAACTCTGGGCCTGAGTGCTGTCCCTCAGCAGTTCAGCTCAAGGCAAGTGCTCTACCACTTAAGGCACAGCGCCACTTCCAGTTTTCTGGTAGTTTATTGGAGATAAGAGTCTCACAGCCTTTCCTGCCTGGGCTGGCTTTGAACTGCTATCCTCAGATCTCAGCCTCCTGAGTAAGTAGGATTTCAGGCATGAGCCACCGACACCCGGCCACTTCCAGCTTTTTGGTGGTTAGTTGGAGATAAGCGTCTCACAGACATTTCCTGCCCAGGCTGGCTTCTAACTTGTATCATCAGATCTCAGCCTCCTGACTTGGTGAGATTACAGACATGAGCCACCAGCATCCAGCAATTTTTTGTACACCTTTCAGGTCTTGGCTAAGAGTTTTCTCTATGGCAGTGTTTTAGCAGCCTGCTGTACTAGAGAGATGGTAAAGTGGCATGTGAGTGACTCTAGTCCCAACTACTCACAAGGCTTAGGCAGTGAGCCTGGGAGCTCATGAAACCCCTTCTCAAAAAAACAGCAATGAGCTGGGCATCCGTGGCTCATGCCTGTAATCCTAGCTACTCAGGAGGTTGAGATCTGAGGATCGCAGTTCAAAGCCAGCCCGGGCAGGAAAGTCTGTGAGACTCTTAGCTCCAATTAACCACCAGAAGACCAGAAGTGGCGCTGTGGTAGAGCGCTTGTCTTGAGGTGAAGAACTGAGGGACAGCGCCCGGGCCCAGAGGTCAAGCCCCACGACTGAAAAAAAAAAAAAAGAAAAAGAAAACAACAGCAAATAGATAGTGTTCAGAATGTAGCCCTAGCATGCACAAGAACTGGATTTGATACTCATCTCTGCAACAAAAAACAGGCAAAGGACAGTCTCACCCAGCTTCATGTTCTTTGGTGTGTGGGTGTGGGTGTGCGTGTGCATGCGTGTGTGTGCTTGCCAGTCCTGGACACTCCCTGAGCTGCTTTTTGCTCTACCCCTTGAGCCACAGCGCCACTTCTGGATTTTTCTGTTTATGTGGTACTGAGGAATCGAACCCAGGACTTCGTGCATGCTAGGTAAGCATGCTACCACTGAGCCACCTTCCCAGCCCCGTCATGTTCTTTGAAAGCTGGTAGTCCCATCCCACCTTAAACAGAATGTTCTACTTGTGAGAGCCCGAGAATCCAAGCTATGAGACCCTGAAAGGATTGGGAGTTTGGAATGCCTTCTCCCAATATACAATGCTGAGAGTTTTCCTGGAAAGGTCAATCAATCCTGGCTTAACAAGAACTCAGATTCCACCCTAAACTGTGTGGGATCCTGCAATTGGTCGGCTGTTTACCTTTTAGCTCTCCTTCCCCAAATCAGAAGGTCACCTACTTTCTAATATTGTCACAGGTTGAAGTTTGTACTTCCTTACACAAGACTAATAAAGACCTTGGTTAATGGAACCTTGGGATCTGTTGCCAGCAGAAGGCTACAGGTCCCCTGGTACCCCAAACCTCAGTTGCATGGTCCAGGTCTCCGTTATTGTGTTGCTCCTGGTCATGGTGAATTAAGTAGCACACTGTGGATTGCGACACCACTAATGCTGACTAGTCAACCATCTATGATTCTGTAAACAGCTCTGTGCAGGGGTAAGGGTCAAGCAGGCCTAAATCCCCTTCCAACACTAACAGAAGGGGAAGTTAGATTAAGGGAGGCTACTCATTGTTTAAGGGAAAGGCCCTGAAAAATCCTAGGTTTTTGCTAGAAGAACACATTACTTACTGAATCAGAACCTACATGTTGGGGCCAGGCACTCAGACTGTGTGTGTATGTGGAGTGGGGTGGGAGAACTGGAAATTGAACTCAGAGCCTTGCACTTTCTAGCTATGTGCTCTTCCACTTGAGTCCTGTCCCAGTCTTTTTGCTTTTTAGTTTTTCAGAGAGCATCTTGCACTTTTGCTCAGGCTGGCCTCAGATCATAATCCTCTACCTTCACTTCCTAAGTAGCTGGAGTTATAGGTGTGTATAACCACATCAGGTTCTGGCTCCCAGATTTGATGGTGAATCTACTAAGTGCTATCTCTGGGGCCTCAAGCAAGCTAGTAATTTCCTCATCTGTTAAATGGGTTCTTTTCAGTTGTTGAAGGTTCATTTAGGTAATGCAGTATCTGGTATAATTCTCTATAACGATATTAAACCTCAGCTGTGAATCTGGATAGGCAGTTTGGTGTCCTGGGGAATGATTAGTTTCTCTCTCTTCTTGGCTCCTTCCTGTAAATGGTTCTGGAATAAAGATTTAGATAACAAGCAGGCGCCAGGCGCTCATGCCTGTAATCCTAGCTACTCAGGAAGCACAGATCTGAGGATCGCGGTTCAAAGCCAGCCCGGGCAGGAAAGTCCAGGAGACTACTTTATCTCCAATTAACTGCCATAAAACTGGAAGTAGTGCTGTGGCTCAAGTGGTAGAGCACTTGTCTTGAGCTGAAGAGCTCAGGGATGGCACCCAAGCCCAGAATTCAAGCCCCAGTTGTGGCACAAAAAGAGAAAAAGAATCCACCAACACATGCTTTCCTCTTCATTCTCCACAAAGCATCCAAGACCTGAAGTCCAGCACGGAGCTTCACTCTATTAATCAGCCTTGCTGTATTTTTCCCCTGTGTTTACCAGACAGGCCTTCACCTCACCAACATAGGGACTGAGGATAACACTCCTTAGATGCAAGAAAAAAAAAAAAGCAGAATTAATTGAGACAGTGTCCACTCACCAGCCATCTTGCCCAGAGGTTTCTTAGAATGGGAGTGAGGAGCTGAGAAGGAGGCCATAATGCTGGCTTGCAAATGAATCCTGTGAGACCAGGATTAGGAAAGCAACAGAAGCGGGGAGACCCAGTGGTGACCTCGTAGAGCAGCCATCCTACAAGGCAGAGGGAGGGAGAGAGAGTCACAAAAACCGTACCTACCCTACTGTTAGACGCAGGGCGTGGGCTTCCACAAGTTCTGCTTTTCTCCTGGTACCTAACAGATTCGGTTTCTAATTGAAACCTAGTCTAAGGGCTAAGACTGGTCTAAAGCAGGAAAAGGCACTGTGATTGGAGCGGATTCAGGATAAACCCAGATCGGTGCAGAGGGCTCAGAGTGACAGAGTATGAGCTCAGCATGACTGGCAGAGTGAGTGTTCTACGCTCTACCTGGCCCAAAACACATTCCAAATCTGGGGAGACTGGGCTGACAGGCAGCTCTTCAGAGGGGCTTCCTGGTAAATGCTGATATGGGAGAAAGACAATTACTACTTGGAGAGATCATTCTGTATCCAGATAGATGGGTGATAAGGAGTAGTACAAGCAGGAAACCTTGTAAGACTATTCGGTTTTGTTTTGTTTTTACCAAGTCTGTCTTTCCCTTAATGACCCCATTGATCCACCCATCTAGCACTGGACTGTCAGCTTAGGGAGACTTTCATGGAGTGATATGGTGAGGGCTGCTGACTGCAGGCAAAGTGCCAGGATTCTCTCTTCTTGTTACCTGTGGCCTTCTGCAATCTTGCTATGCCCCAGTGTCTCCATTGGGAAACAGAGATACTGTAATGCTCGAAACTGCTTCTCAGGATTATTGCAAAAATCATACAAGGTAGTTTATGTAATATGTTCAGAAAATGTTGTAGAATAATATGTCTTTAGCCTATCTAGCCAGGTACTGGTGACTCACACCTGTAACCTTAGCTACCCAGGAGGCTGAGATATGAAAATTAGTGGTTCAAAGCCAGCCCAGGCAGAAAAATCCCCATGAGACTCTTATCTCCAATGAACCACCACAAAAACTAAAAGTGGTGTTGCAGCCCCAGTGGTATGGTAGAGCACTGAGCATGTGCAAAAGAGCTCAGGGAGGGCTGGGAAGGTGGCTCAGTGGTAGAGCGCTTGCCTTGCATGCCTGAGGCCCTGGGTTCCATTCCCCAGCACCACATAAACAAAAAGAAAAAAGCCGGAAGTGGCACTGTGGCTCAAGTGGTAGAGCGCTAGCCTTGAGCTGAAGAGCTGAGGGACAGCGCCCAGGCCCAGAGTTCAGGCCCCACGACCGGACCCCTTCCCCCCCCCCAAAAAAAGAGCTCAGGGACAGCACCCAGGCCCTGAGTTCAAGACCCAGGACAGGCACAAAAATAAATAAATAAATTGATAGAGAGATAAATAACCTATGTAGTCATGGTGATAGGTGCTACAGTCTCACCTACTTGGGAATCTGAAACAGGATAACTGCTTAACACTATGAATTCAAGACCAGCCTGCGCAACAGAATGAGACTGGCTCACACAAGGAAAAAACCAACAAATAACATACAGATCCACATGGAAGGGATATGTTTGTAAATAATATTCAATACTGTGACATTCATTGTTTGTTCCCACATTGATCACTGCTATCTGAGATTCCAGAAGCTTTTGTTTTTGTTGCGGAGGAGGGTGAGATGCTCACATTGCTTCTAAATGGATACAAAAACAGAGGATCAAGAATTTACCTTGGATGGACAATTTGCTGGGGTTTCTTCCCACCAGAAGGACAGGGATGTCCCAGATGCTGGCAGGTCTTCCAGCCTCTGTTTCTGGAGGAAGATGGCGTGATGCAGAGCCTGCCCTGGTGCAGCGGGAGTGCTGCATTCTAGAGATACCTCTCCAGTGGAAGAACTTGGCTCTCTGTGGTAGTGGTAGTGGAGCCACCTGCAGAGGGCTGCTTTCTGACTGTCAGATCTTCAGAGGCCAAAAGAAAAGAAACCAATCTGATTACTAGAACATTGTAACAAGAGGTTTCCAAACTTAAAGATAGTCAGTCTAGGTTGGCTATTAATATCTTGTTCCCTGATACTAAAAGACCACTGAGATCTGAGGATTGTGGTTCAAAGCCAGCCAGGGCAGGAGTTCAAGCCCATGACCAACACACACACACACACACACACACACACACACACACACACAAGACACTGGAGCAGGGCAGGGCACGGGATGACTTATTTCATGGTCAACTAGTTTGGATTGAGTCTTGGCTACTCAGGAGGCTGAGACCTGAGTATCACAGTTGAAAGCCAACCCCTGGCAGGAAAGTCCATGAGACTCTTACCTCCAATTAACCACCAGAAAACTGGAAGTGGAGGTGTAGCAAAAGAACTCAGGGATAGGGCCCAGGCCCCAAGTTCAAGCCCCAGGACCACCAAAAATTAAATAAATAAATACAGATGCCTTTTGCTCTACAGCAACATACATTAGGTCACTTGGTTTTTACATTATATTTTTAAATTTTGTTTTAATTTTTAAACTGTAACACATATAGATTTAAAAGTTTCACAAAATGCCTTTGCCTTTTGACAACACATCCTGATTTGGGGTGATTACCCTTTTCATTGTTCAAGAAATGTATAGCTGGATGCCGGTGGCTCATGCCTCTAATCCTAGGGCTGGGATGTTGCTCAGTGGCAAAGTGCTTGCCTAGCAAGTGCAACATCCTGGGATCGATCCCCGGGATCAAAAAAGAAAGGAAAAAGGCAAAAAAATCTATAGTGAGGGGTATACTGGAAGAGCACTTGCTTAGCATATGTGAAGCCCTAGGTTCAGTCCCAACACTGCCAAAAGAGAAGACGAAGATGGAGAAGAAATCCAGTTATCTAGCAACATATGCCACTGAAACAAGGCTAGTACAAGTCCTTGTAACTGTTTTTTAAAAAAAATATTTTACCTTATTGTTATAGAGGTGATGAATGGAAAGATTACAATCACATGAGTCAGGTACCAAGTACATTTCCTTTTGTACAGTGTCCTCTGTTCCCTCATTCTCTCCCAGTCCCTTTTCCCATCTCTACCCCTGAGGTGTATAAGCCCTTGTAACTATTATGAAAACGTTTAAGCTTGGGAAACAACATCATCTTTGACAGGATAATTGAGCAAGATTATAGATAAGTTCCAGTAACTGCACACATGACTTTCTTCCTGGAGTCTCAAATCTCAAGTACCTTCCTTGTTCCTTGCCAGACTTTGTGCATGCAGCCAGAGCTGTGGAACCATGACACAGTCACACATGCTTTCATCTTTCCAAGATACAGTTGTCAAGAAGGTAAGACTCAACTGGAAGGTCTGTTCATTAGCTTTGTCGAGTCTCTGATTTGTTATGTGGCCTCATATGTATATATGTATATATATATGAGGCCACATAGCATACATATATACATACATACATATGTGCATATATATGCATGTATATGTATATATGGTCACATTTTCTTGTGTTTTTGAAAAACAAAGCATCCAGGCACAATGGTGCACACTTATAATACTTGATATTTGGGAGGTGGAGGAAGGAGGATCTTAAGTTGAAGACCAGTCCAGGAAAACTTACAATGAGACCCAATCTGAAAAACAAAATAAAAAGAAAGGCCTAGAATAGTGACTGAAACGGTAGAACATGTGCCTAGCTTGGGTTCTACCAATAGTAATAGAAGAAGAAAAAAAAACAATTCATAAAGCAGAACAATATATACCTCAGATACCCATTTAATATAGAACAGCAGAGACCTGATAGAAAATTAGTAAAGAACTTCTTCACAGTACTTTTGGTGTCTTTTTGGATGTTTCCAATATTATATGTAGGAACTTAAGAGAGGAAAATCTGATGTGGTTTCACTGTATAAAATCCTACGAGCTGCGTGCTCGTAGCTCACAACTATAATCCTAGCTACTAAGGAAGCTGAGATCTGTGGACCACATTTCAAAACCAGCCCAGGCAGACAAGTCCTGGTAAGACTCTTTATCTCCACCGAAAAGCCAGAAGTGGAGCTATGTCTCAAAGTGGAATAGTGCTAGCCTTGAGTAAAAGAGCTCAAGGCCAATACTCAGGCCCTGAATTCAAATCCCACGACTGACAAAAAAAAAATCCAAAATGTGTTAAATACTATCCAGTGTCTAACTGATCTCCAATTTTTAATATCTAGGGAATGTCTTGAGACCTGTGAAGACTTATGATTTTTTTTTTGGAGGGGGGTCTGGTCGTGGGGCCTGAACTCTGGGCCTGGGCGCTGTCCCTCAGCTCTTCAGCTCAAGGCTAGCACTCTACCACTTGAGCCACAGTGCCACTTCTGGCTTTTTTTTTTTTTTGCTTATGTGGTGCTGAGGAATCGAACCCAGGGCCTCATACATGCAAGGCAAGCAGTCTACCACTGAGCCACCTTCCCAGCCCAAGACTTATGATTTTTATTTTTTTAATTTTTTATAGACTTATGATTGAAGATATGTCTCTTAACATTTAATTTTATCTTAGATTTCTCTTCATCTGAAATCATTATTGGTGGTAGACAGGTAATGTAGTTCCCCAAAGATGTTCACAAGCTAACCATAGCACGGTTTTGTCAAAGAGTGGTTTGTAGACTTCAGGAGACCAGCCCTAGAGTGACCTCCAGGTTCACACTTGTGAGTGTGGGGTAGACCCACTCATTTCTAACCCACAGAATATGGCAAAGATGATGGAGTGTCACTCATATAGTTATGTTACTATTTATGATGCATGTGTGTTTGTCTTCATACCTGCCCACACTATACAGGAGATGCATATATACCATGTGTATGAGTATTATGTGTGCATGCATAGGTGCATTTGTATGCACCGAGCTCCTTCTTGACACCATTGCATAATGTCCTGAGTTCAAACCCCAGTACTTGAGTATACATGTGCACATGCACCCACAAACTGGAAACAAACATATCCAGCAACACAAGTCCAGTAGGATGGATAACTAGCCTGTGGTATAATCATGCAGGAGAAATAAAGTATTATTGCTAACACAACATGGGTGAGTATCACCAAACATATTGATTGTACAATACCAAATATACAAGACTATATAACATGACTTAAGGACTAGAAATCTAAAAGCAGGCAAAGCTATTTTATAGAAGCAGAGGGCTAGAGTGGAGCTGAGAGCCAGTGACTCAGGCCTATAATCCTAGCTACTCCAGAGGCTGAGGTTTGAGGATCAGGTTTGGAGGCAGTCTGGGCAGACAAAACTGGAAAACTCATCTCCAATTAACCAACAAAAAGCTGGGAGTGAAGGTGGCTCAAATGGTAAAGTGACAGCCCTGAGCCAAGAAGACCCTGAGAGAAGTAGTCTCTCCTCCCCAAATAAAAAGACTCTGGGAAGGTAATCACCTGAGGGGAAGCCGAAGCTGGAAGGGGGCAGTGGGCTTCCTGATAGGTGCTAGTAATGGTTTGTTTTCTGTTCTAGAAGCAGGTTGCTCAGGAAACAAAAATCACGGTGAAAAATTACCAATTAGGCTACATACTTAATAAGATTTGTGCCGGGTGCTGGTGGCTCACGCCTGTCATCCTAGCTACTCAGGAGGCTGAGATCTGAGGATCGCGGTTCAAAGCCAACCCGGGCAGGGAAGTCCATGAGACTCTTCTCTCCAATAAACCACTCAGAAAACCAGAAGTGGCGCTGTGGCTCAAGTGGTAGAGGGCTCGCCTTGAGCTGAAGAGCTGAGGGACAGCGCCCAGGCCCAGAGTTCAAAAAAACAGTTTGTGCCCTTTTGTATAGGTATGTAACCTACACACACACACACACACTCAAACCAAAACCAAACCAAAATGTGGTTTCCTCTGAGTCACCCCTGGCCCTCACGCCCCAGGGGTCGGCTCGGCTGGAGCACTTCCCCGTCTTCACCGCCCTGCTCCGGGTGCAGAGCGGAGCTCCATTCACCTGCCACCGTCCGGAACCGGACGCGGGTCTGTCGGGTCCCTCCGCCCCGTGCCTGGTCCGTGGGCGCGGTGGGCGCTCGTCGGGCGCCTCTGTCCCTCATCGGTCCTTGACCCTGGAGGCACCAACCCAAGTCAAAAGCAGCGGGACCGGCGGTGCCCACCAGAGACGGCTGACATCGCCTGGCCAGAGTGGGGTTCGAGCCCCCGCTGAGGCCGAGCCCCTCGAGGAGCTCAGAGGTTGAGCAAGTTGCCCCGGGGGCCGAGGTCAGGCCGGGTGGAGGCTGGAAGTCGTCCTGGGTGCCCCGGGGGTGCGGGTTCCCCCGCCCCGCCCCGGCACGCGCCCCCCG